CGATTTGAACATTATAGCTAGCTGGAGCCTATTTCCTTATATGGGCATTTCTTCCGCACCATATCAGGGGAAGACGTGTTGCCAAGACGGTTGCTAAGGCAAGTGAGGCATCTGATTGGTTGATCTTTAAATGGCTTATATCTGGATTTACAAAGACAATATCAAAGTATGAATACCGCAGGGATAACAGAGAACACAAAAGCACAGATTTTTAGGCCCAAAATGGTGAGTGTGACACAATTTCTGATTGAATAAACTTGTGTGCGAATTAGTATTTTGTGATTTTGTGTTTTTGAGTTTGAAGTATGTAAATTAGTTACTGTTAGATAGAATATATATTTTAATGGGCGCCAGGAGAGGAAAGATGGACCACTCAGTCTAGTTAGAGGAGAGACCCGGCTGGGGCCCTGTCATGAAGCCACCTGTGCCATTCCCTTAGTGATAACACAAAGAATACATAACAGAAAAACATCTGAAGTTAATCAGTCTAATCAGGAAAATCTAATTCTTGTTCCGTGTAAGAATCAGCCGACCACAACCGCTGATACTGAAACTTTTAAACTTGCTATGCTAAATGTCAGATCTCTTTGTAACAAGTCTTTTTTTTTTTTTTTTACTTTATTTTTAAACAATTTTTACATTTTGAAAACATTCAAAAACAGAACAAAACAAAAAAAATACAGAGCACACATAGTCAGAGAGTAAGATTAGATATACATATACAGCAGATGACACTATTTCAAAGAGCAGATCATATTTCACAAATGACATCGTCAGTTGATTGTATGAAACAGTCCCATTTTTTCCACAGTCCTTCCCCTTTGTGCCGTTGTAGATGAAGGTTAAAAGTCATTGTTTCCATTGTTCTTATTTGAATCATTATTTGTGTCAGGTGGCTCAAAGATGGAGCCTCTTTTTTAAGCCAACATTTAGTTATTGCCTTTTTACCAGCTGCAAGAATTATCCTAAAGAGATAAATGTCACTCTTATTTAGACCTATTGGTGGAACACTTAGAAATAGGGAAATAAAAGAGTTGTCAACTTGTATACCCAAGACAAGACGTATTAGCGTTACAACCTTCTGCCAAAACTGTAAAATTCCAGGGCAAGACCAAAAAATATGTACCTGATCTGCTTTGTCGGATCCGCATTCCCTCCAGCACAAAGATGGAGCAGCTGAGATCTTTGATTTACGTACTGGTGTCATAAAAAAACGACTCAGGCTTTTCCAACAAAAATCTCTCCAGGAGAATGAATTAGTTGTAGTACATTGGGATTTCCATCCCTCCAACCAGAGTTCCTCAGGTATCTCAACTGTCAAGTCCTTATCCCATTGATGTTTTACATGAAGGTATGTGTCATTATCCATTGAGTTTAAAATCCCATATATTTTGCTAACAATTTTTTTGCAACTTGTTCCATTATAGATGTTTAAGAGTAATTGGACCAGATCTGGAACTTTTACTGATACATCGCTTTGTATTTCTTTTGTAAAGTAATGACGAAGTTGGAGATACCTGAAAAAATCATGTTTACCAAGGCCAAATTTAAGCACAAGATTCTGGAAGCTATCCATCTGTCCTCTCACCACAGTACGGCTCATTGCTGTTATACCCAGTCGCGGCCACTCTTTGAATCTATCATCATTTACTGCCGGTAGGAAATGCGGGTCACAAGCAGGCCAACTCAGCATCTTGGCTTGTCTGTGAAGTGCAAATCTCCTCACAATTTGCATCCAAACCTTGATTCCCACACTGACACAGAAGTTTCCAAGCTTCAAAATTGTCCTACAGCATTCTACACATCCGAGTGTTGCCTGTAATGGCTTTTCAGACATAGACAGCTCCAAACCTTTCCATTTTGCTTCATAGGACTCATCGCACCAAAGTATGAGATATCTTAATTGGGCCGCAACGTAGTATTGTCTTAGACAGGGTAGTGCCATGCCTCCCCTGTCCCTGGGAAGCTGAAGAACAGAGTATTTTATGCGTGGTTTCTTGGAGTTCCATATAAACCTGGATATGCATTTATCCCACACTCTAAATTGTATCAGTGGGATTTCAACTGGTAAAGCATTAAAAAGATATAATAATTTGGGCAAAGTTACCATTTTAATTGACCTTATCCTGTCACCGATCTCTATGGGGAGCACAGACCACCTATTAAGGTCTTCTATGACTTGTTTTGTGATATATTCATAGTTTATTGTAAAAAGCAGAGAGAGATCCTTTGGAATAAATACCCCGAGATATCGGATGTGAGAAAGGGTCCAATCAAAATTATAGTTACTGACCAAATCTGGGCTGGGAGAGTGGTTGAATGAAAGTACCTGAGTTTTATTAACATTGAGCTTATAACCAGATAGTCCCCCCAAATGATTTAATTGCACTCATAAGTTTAGGTATGCTGGACTCTGGGTTCTGGAGTGTTACCAACACATCGTCGGCATATAGGCAAATTTTATATTCCGTACCCCTTATAGTTATACCCTCTAGATCCTCTTCCTGTCGGATCATCTGGGCCAATGGTTCAATAAACAAATTGAACAGAAATGGGCTAAGTGGGCAGCCTTGTCGACAACCTCTATGAAGTTTTATTGTGTTAGTTAGATCTCCATTAATTTTGATCCTTGCGGTCGGAGCCGAATATAGGGCCTTTATGCATTGTATGAACTGATCTGCGAAGCCTAAACAGCTCATTGTTTGGTAGAGGAATTGCCAACTAACTGAATCAAAGGCCTTCTCAGCATCTAAGCTGAGAAGAACTGCATTAGAATTTGTCTTCGTTATGTGATCAATTATATGAATGGTTCTCCGTATGTTATTCGTGTGTTTGGCGATCTTTAACAAAACCTGTTTGGTCTTCATCTATGAGAAAAGATATAGCCTCTTCCATTCTCCTGGCCAGGATTGATGCAAAAATCTTATAATCCACATTGAGAACACTGATAGGCCTATATGATTTACAATCCAATTTATTTTTCCCCTCTTTATGTATAATGGAGATAAAAGCCTCCCTCCATGAGGGAGGAGGCACACCTCCCTTCATTATATTGTTAAAGCATTCTTTAAGCAGTGGAAGTAATGGATCCCTCATCAGCTTGTACCATTCAGCCGGGTATCCATCTGTACCTGGACTTTTCCCCGTCTTTAAGGCTGAGATAGCTTTGTTAATTTCTATGTCTGAAATTTCAATGGTCAAGGATTTATTGTGTTTTCTTCCAAGAGCGGGGAGGTCTAACGATTTCAAAAAACAGTCAATTTTGTCAGGGCTACTTTCACCACTGTGTGTATATATAGAGACGAGTAATATTTTTCAAATGCATTGTGAATTTTGTTCTGTTTGGTTGTCAATTTATTTGATTTTGGATCTCTAATTTTATAAATTGATCTCTCTTCTTGTTGTTTACGTAGTCTCCAAGCTAATAATTTTGTTGCCTTTGATCCAGCCTCATAGTACCTCTGTTTCATATACCTGATATTCTTCTCTATGTCTTCACTATACAATTTGTCGATTTCCTGTTTGATAGGTTTCATTTAATTCAATAGTGAAGGGTCTTTATTTTGACTATGCTGCCTCTCAAGCTCTCTTAATCTGTTTTCCAAGTCCTGTAGTAGCTTTTGTTTTGATTTCTTCAAAGAAGCAGCTTTAGAAATGAGCTTTCCTCTAAGATAGGCTTTGGCTGTGTCCCATAGAATGGGTGAACTGACTTCTCCATTATCATTATAGGATAAGAATTCCTTATAATCTTCCAAAATTTCTTTTTTATATTCATCACTGTTGAAAATACTGATATTCAATCTCCAATTTGTTTTCTTTTTATGAGTGTCCAGATGTAACGTTAAGTAGAGCCCTGCATGGTCAGAGAGATCCCTTTGTTGAATTTTACATTCTTTCACTCTGTGAAGTTCACTGTTAAACATTAAGTAATAGTCAATCCGTGAATACATATTATGGCGGGCTGAATAAAAAGTGAAATCTTTCTCTCGACCATGCATGTCTCTCCACACATCCTTGAGACCCAGAATTCTGGTTGTTTTTATCACCCAGGACTCAACAGCCGTCCTGATCCTCTTATGATTCGTTGTGTCCAGTTTGTGGTCCATCAGCATATTTAGATCTCCTGCACACAACAAGGTACCATACTTCCCAATTGCTAAAAGATCAAAAACATTTTTAAAGAAGGATATAGGGCTTCCAGGGGGAGCATAGATGTTCACTAAAGTTACGGGTTTACCATCTAGTTTCCCCCTAACAAGGATATATCGACCTTCTTTATCTTTGGTCTCGGAAATCAGCTCAAAACTGATCTTGTTCGAGATTAATATAGCAACTCCCCTTTTGTTTCCTGATCTATGTGAAGAAAAAAATGTTTTACTAAAGCCCAGCTTTTTAAGTTTTTCATGTTCCGATTGAGACAGATGTGTTTCCTGCCAGAATGCAATGTTTATCTTTTCCTTCTTTAATTTAGCTATCATTTTACTACGTTTTATGGGACTGTTTAAACCATTAACATTTAGGGATAAAGTTTTATAGTATTGAAACATTTTATTGATGTTATATTTTCACCCGCTGCATGTGATGTTGAGCTCTCTTGTAAAAATAAACAAAAAAAAGCAAAAAGGAACTGATCAAAATGAAAAATAACTTCAAAACTTAACAAGACTTCCATTAGAGAGGAAAAACAAGCTCCTCTAAAAACAGTGAGGGGAGATAGCCACAAGGTGGGGCCCCTCATCAACTTATTCTACAAGTAGAAAAACAACTGCGGTGTTACCCCAGTAACTATGGTGGGCATTTAGGGCGCACACTGAACCAGCCTATTTTGCAATCAGGTTACGTCTCGGGATGACTTGCTTAGCCATTAAGTAAACGCAAGTTTAAAACTAAAAGGGATCGTTCGAGATCAGATAACCGATATAGATGCACATGAGTGTCCATTACTCTTACTTACACAGCGTATACCTCCTGATTAGAGTCCACAGTGTCCTTAAACATCTTCATTCTTCATGGCTGTTGTCCTCCTGATCGGGTCGCTGGAACCCACGCAGTCTCTCCCTGATGCTCTCCTGGTAGTCTTTACCAGCGCGGTGCGGACCCACGGTGCGCCAGGGTAGAAGTTTAGACAGCGTATCAGCATTATGGTCCGCTGGCTTCTTCGCTCGAATTGGCCCAACCGAAAACCCCCGTTTCTCCAACTCCGCGACCGCTGCGTGGGGATCATTACAGGTAACTGAACCAGTGTCAAAGTGAATGCGGATCCTTGTTAGCGGTGTTTGGAAGCGGATCTGGTTTTCTTTCAATATCTTCTTTATTGGGGTGTATTCCTTTCTTCTCTGCTGTACATCTGTTGCATAGTCGTGATCAAAAAAGACGCGTTTGTTCTGGACGAACATCTGTTTTTTCCATGCAGCCTGGAGAACCTTCTCCTTAGTTGTGAAACTCAGGAAGCGAATAACAATCGAGCGCGGTGGTGCGCCTGTCGGTGGCTGTGGACCCAAAGCCCGATGAGCCCGTTCTATTCCAAGGTCTGCGCCTCTTTGAACACCGATGCTCTCTCGTAGCTCATTCAATATGAAGCTCTCAATAAAAGCTGGCATTGAGGTTCCCTCCGTTTTCTCCGCAATCCCGTAGATCCTAATGTTGTTACGCCGAGAGCGGCCCTCCAAATCAGACATCTTTGACTGTAGTGCTCTCTGGTTGTTGATGAGGTCAAGTAAAGTGTCCCTCACTGCCAAGTCCCACTTTTCTGCTCCAGCCGCTTTTATTTCCACCTCCTCCAGTCGCCGTGTAGCATCCTCTATCTGGCGGCTAGCGGCCTCTAGTTTCTGGTTGATGTTAACATTGAGGACGTCCAGCTGAGTCTTCATGTCCTCTTTGATTATTTCACGAAAGTTGGTCAAATCCCTTGCCATCTGTTGTCTTAGGTCTTCCAGCCCCTTATTCATAACTTCACTTATAATTGTGCGGATAACGGTGGTATCAGTGGATACAGTGCTAACGCTAGCTTCCTCCCTGGCAGCGTGGTGAGTAGCGTTAGCTGGGTTATCCGAGTTGGAGCTTGAATCTAATTTCTTCTCCATAATTCCCTTCCCGGACCTTGTTTGTCGATCCCCGCTCATTTCCAGAGAATATCCGTGTTTGTCTCTAGTCGTAAAATCTTCGAATTTTGGGGATATATTGGCTGAGTTCAGAGCCGCTTCACTTTACGCGTCCATTCAGTTCGACGCCACCGGAAGTCTCGTAACAAGTCTTTTTTAATCAATAATTTTATTTGTTCTTATAATCTAGATCTTATGTTCATGGCTGAAACATGGCTTGACCAAAATACAGAAAATGCAGTTTTAATAGAAGCATCACCACCAAATTTCAAATTTGAATCTGAAATACGGGAAAACAAAAAAGGAGGAGGCTTAGCTGCCATTTTCAGAGACCACTTTGTTTCCCCTAGTATGTCTCTTGGGAAGTTTCCGTCTTTTGAATATGTGTCTTTTAAAATACAACAAAAACAATCTCCTCCAATACTTTTCGTTGTCCTATACAAGCCACCGCAGTCATGTCACAGTTTTATTGATAATTTTACAGAGTTGCTTTCAGTTGTATGCACAGATTTTGATAGTTTAGTTATTACAGGTGATAATATTCATGTGGATAATGTTGATGACAGAAATGCTAAAGAGCTGAGTTCTCTTCTTGAATCTTTTGGTCTCACTCAGCATGTGAGTGGCCCCACCCACAGCAGAGGGCACACTCTAGACCTGTTAGTTACAAAGGGGGCGAACATTTATAATGTAAACGTGGTCGATGTTGCGCTTTCGGATCATTTTTGTATATTTTTTGACATGTGTTTCACTAACAAACCACCAGTGGACTCTGCAACTGTACGAAGAAGACACATAAATGAAAATACGGGTGAACTATTTATGGGAATGATAAACTTTGAGAATGCATCGTATTCTACTGTAGATGAACTGTTTAACTCTGTCACCTCTAGTGTTTTGAATGTTCTGGACACCATCGCTCCTGTGAAGTTTAAAATAGTGAAAAATAAGCAGAAGGCGCCGTGGGCTAAAGCAGACTCGGTCAGGGCACAAAAGTGAGAGTGCCGGAGGGCCGAGCGGAAGTGGCGCAAGTCCAACCTCCAGGTTGATTACAAGATCTTCAAAGATAAGTTGTGCGAGTTTAACCAGGTGCTACGTAGTACGAGAGAAAGGTATTTTTCTGAAATGATTGAAGGCTGCAGCAACAATCTGCGTGTTCTGTTTTCAACTGTTAATAGATTAACAAACCCCCCTGTTCAAATGCCATTAGAGCTAACTTCCAAACGTAAATGTAATGAGTTTGCACATTTTTTCAATGACAAGGTTCAAGGCATCAAAAACGCCATTGTCCCCAATCCACAGATAACAATCCAACAGCCAGAAAGGCTCTTTGAGCTAACTTACTTTGCACCTGTAAATGATCAAACTGTCCAAGAGATAATCTCCAGTTTGAGCTCCTCCACATGCAGCCTGGATGTACTACCCACTAGATTTCTAAAGTCTGTTCTGAGCAGTCTGTTACCTTCACTCACACAGATAGTAAACATGTCCCTTGATTCTGGAATATTCCCAAAGGCCCTGAAAACTGCAGTCATCAGGCCCCTGCTAAAAAAGAGCAGTCTGGATGCTACGGTACTTAACAACTATCGTCCCATCTCAAATCTGCCATTTATGGGGAAAGTCCTTGAAAAAGTTGTCTACCTACAGCTTACTAGATTTCTTATAATCAACAACTCATTTGATATGTTTCAGTCCGGCTTTAGACCCCACCACAGCACTGAGACTGCTCTCGTCAAGGTTACAAATGATATCCGGCTGAACACTGACGCAGGAAAAGTCTCAATCCTAATCCTGTTAGATCTGAGTGCTGCCTTTGACACTGTCGACCATGAGATCCTCTTACAGAGACTAGAGGACTGGGTTGGCGTCGCTGGCTCCGCCCTAAGTTGGTTTAGGTCTTACCTTGAAGACAGGAAGTACTTTGTGGAGATTGGAAACTGTGTCTCAGATCATATGGCCCTGACCTGTGGAGTCCCACAGGGGTCGATCCTGGGACCTCTTCTGTTCAATCTCTACATGCTGCCGTTAGGTCAGTTAATACGCAGAAACAAAGTTTCCTATCATAACTATGCAGACGACACTCAGATCTATGTCTCACTGACTGCAGGAGAACATGGACCAGTGGACTCACTCCTTCACTGTATCCAACAGATCAGTGAGTGGATGCAAAACAACTTCCTTCAGCTAAACGCAGACAAAACTGAAATGATTGTCTTTGGTCCCCAGAAACAAAGAGAGAGCGTCATCTGTCATCTACAGTCTCTCTCCCTAAAACCTTCAAACAAGGTCAGAAATCTAGGGGTAATACTGAACTCAGACTTAGATTTTAATAGCCACATCAAATCAGTAACATCAGCAGCTTTTTACCATCTAAAAAACATTGCCAGGATCAAAAACATAGTGTCTAAAGCAGACCTGGAGATTCTTATCCATGCATTTGTCTCCAGTAGGTTAGACTACTGCAATGGCCTGCTCACAGGTCTGTCCAAACAGGCTGTAAAACAGCTGCAGTACATTCAAAATGCAGCAGCTCGAGTCCTGACAAGAACCAGGAAGTACGACCACATTAGTCCAGTCCTCAGGTCTCTGCACTGGCTTCCTGTGGCTCAGAGAATAGACTTTAAAACAGCTCTGCTTGTGTACAAGTCTCTCCATGGCCTCGCACCAAAATATATTAGTGACATGTTAGTCCCATATGAACCAGCCCGGACTCTGAGGAGCACAGGGACTGGACTCCTGTTAGTGCCCAGAGTCAGAACTAAACATGGGGAGGCTGCTTTTCAGATTCATGCTGCTAAAATCTGGAAACAATCTTCCTGAAGATGTGAGACAGGCCTCCTCTCTGACAATGTTTAAAACCAGGTTAAAAACGGTGCTGTTTAGCTGTGCATACAACTGAGGGATTTTATATTTTTATCTTTCGTTTTAATGTTCTGTAATTATTTATGATTTTAATGCATCTTGTTCAGCACTTTGAGTTGCCTTGTGTATGAATTGTGCTATACAAATAAACTTGCCTTGCCTTGCCTTGCCTTGCCTATGTTTTGTGTAAGGGACTGACAGCTTAGAAAAAAATATAATACTACACAACAAAAAATACATTATATTGCAAAAATAGTTGCATACTTAGGCCATTGCAGGGGAACAGTTTGGACATGTCTCTGCAGACCAACAAATTTGAAAATCAGAAAGTGTCCTAACTACTATCAGGGCGTTTTGCTTTATTTCTTGATGTGGTATATTTTGGAGAACTCAGGGGCGATGAGAGGAACAACTCCGAAAAGGAAGTGGTCCGCTGTTTAAAATGCATCCTAAATTCAGCTGTGATGAAATAATACAGAACAGGATTTAAGCAGCAACTTAGGCTTGATAGGCACAAAGAAATGGGATGAAACCGCCTCACTGATAATCTGGTTGCACAATCTGACAGAATATCCTGCGACACTAACATGTAAAGCAGGAAGTTGACATGATACGGACCAAAACAAAATAGGAAAAGCCCGGTACAGCTGAGCACCATCCGAAGAGCTCTCCGCTTCTCGCCTCTGGACTGATTTTCCATGTAGCTTTTGTCCACAGAGAAAGTGAAAGAGTGCGACCTATTTCTCATGGAGTTTTGCTCTTCGCCTTTTTGTTTCAGCCTGAGAGAGTGCGCGATTCGAAACGTGCTGTAGCTTATGCAAATGAAAGGTATCAAAAATCCCAAGAGTTCAGCAAAAGTCACCATGACAACGGCAACAGAACTTGAAACGTGCCGTGTAGGGAGGTCGTTGAAGCATCCGTCGGCTTGGGTTTCAGATTTTGCGTTGGATAGATTTGAGCTTATGTGACTTAAATGGGTCAGATTGGAGATGGTAGGCTGGTGGTTGATGCTGAGGGAGCTGGAGGAGGAGGAGGAGGAGGAGCGCATCAATATGAAAGGACAGCAGCCCAACGCGACCACGGCCCACAGGATGGAGCTGATGAGGAGGTCGTAGCGCCGCCTCCATCGCCGAGCGGAGAAAGGTTTAAGGAGGAAGAAGCATCTCTGGACACTGATGCAGACCTGAGGGAGACGATCAGAGACATAAATCACATTACAGAGATCACTTCATTGTGTTCATTTTTGCTGGTATACTCAACTTTTAAACCAAATGAAATTGAAAAATGTATTGAAACCGATCTACAGTATCAAGTTAAAGTCTCAGCCTAAACAATGAAATAGTGACTCATAGGGCTACTATACTTACAAGTCTGCAAAGGATAACACAATAATAGATGGGTTTCATTGGTGACACTAAGATGTGCCAATAGAACCAACTCTGAGTAGCACAGAGACTGGCCTCCTGCTGGGACTGAGGAGCACAGGGACTGGTCTCCTGCTGCGACTCTGAGGAGCACAGGGACTGGCCTCCTGCTGGGTCTCTGAGGAGCACAGGGACCGGCCTCCTGCTGGGTGTCTGAGTAGCACAGGGATTGCTCAGAGACAGGGCTAAACATAGGGAGTCAGCATTTCATATTTGCACAACTCTTCCAGAAAATGTCAGAAGGACTTCCACTTTGACAATGTTCTGTTTTGCTGCAGTGCAAGTCTCAAAGTCTCCGACGACTCTGCCATCATCAGACTCAGCTCCGAGGACGATGACGCGGAATACAGAGGAGTAATTCAGGACTTTGTGGACTGGTGTCAGCGGAACCACCTCCTCATCAACGCGGGGAAGACCAAGGAGATGGTGGTGGATTTCCGCAGACGTCACTCTGCCGCTCCAGCCCCAGTGAACATCCAGGGAAAGGGAATTGAGAGAGTGGACTCTTACAAGTACCTGGGTGTTCATCTGAACCACAAACTGGACTGGACTCATAACACAGAAGCCCTCTTCAAGAAGGGCCAGAGTCGACGCTACCTGCTGAGGAGGCTCAGGTCTTTTGGAGTGCAGGGGCCACTCCTGAAGACCTTCTATGACTCTGTGGTGGCATCAGCCATCTTGTACGGTGTGGTCTGCTGGAGCAGCAGCATCACAGAGAGAGACAAGAAGAAGCTGGAGAAGGTCATCAGGAAGTCCAGCTCAGTGCTGGGCTGTTCCCTGGACACAGTGCAGCCGGTGGAGGACAGGAGGGTCCTGGGCAAACTAACATCTATGCTGGACCATGACTGTCATCCCCTGCAGGACACTCTCTCTGCTCTGGAGAGTAGCTGCAGTGACAGACTTATTCATCCTCGCTGTGTGAAGGAGAGGTTCCGCAGGTCCTTCCTCCCTGCTGCTGTCAGGCTGTACAACGAGAATGTGTAACAAGAACTGCTGAGTCTGCACAAATGTCACTGACAGTTCACTATAGTAACTTGTCACTAGCCACTTTACCTGCTGTTAGTATTTCTGTATTATTACATATCCATCTGATATTTCTGCTTTTCACCAGTCACTTTACCTGTTTCTGATAAGTATTCTGTTCATATGCATATTCCCATATTCTCCGCTGCTAAAGTACATAGACATCTGTAAATACTTTTGAACCAAGTGCAATTATTGCCCAGAGTTTATTTTATTTTATTTTAATCTTATCTTAATTTTATTGTCTATTACCTTAAATAATACTTATTTGATGTGTGCAATCTGAGTGCTCTTATTTCCTTTCTCTGCTGTAATTTGCGCAACGATGACACTGAAATTTCTCCACTGTGAGAATAAAAATTCATCTTATCTTATCTTATAAAACAGCTTTTAGAAAGAAGTGTCTGATATTTACTTTATTTAGTTTTGGGCTTATGTTGTGACAAGCTCGAAGAGGACTCATGAAATTCTCTTTTAAAGGCACTTTTTATGACTTCTGTTCTTGTTATCTTTGTTGCAAAATTTAGATCTCAAAAAGAGAACACGAACAAGTACAAGTTTTGCATCTGTAAACTGAAAGCGTGCTGCTGTCCATATAAAAAATACCAAAATACCAACTTCACTTCCTAATCATTTGCCTACACCAGCTTTAGTGCTCTAAACAGAAAGGTGCAGTACTGTGTTGGATTCCACTTATAGCACTTCCTTTATAGTTCCATAAAAGAGGCTTACCAGAAACATAATGGCCGCATACATGTTGAGGTACTTGAGGTAAAAGCAGAGAAGGCAGACTTTGCGCCCAAATGGCCAGTGGTGAGTGAAGTAGTAATAGATCCTGAGCGGCAGAGACAGGATGTGAGCCAGATCTGCAAACGCCAAGTTCATCATGAAGATCACTGCTTTGGTCTTCTTACTGCGGGACAACGGACAAGAGGGAATGAGGATATACTGAGGACACTCTGAGGACACACTAAAACATTCTATAATACTTTTAAATCTATGGTATTATTAGAATTGTAATAGTAGTAATCTGACACTACATAAATTACACACATGACTCTGGGGACAAAATTTTCAATATAACATTTATTGTGCTGTAAAAAATGTGGTTTGGATTAGACCCCGGCAGAGTACCGCACGTTTGCAGAAGGGCAAAAAAAGATTATGAGATTAAATCCCCCTGGGCCTAGACCCTGATGGTGGTAGTTTAGGAGAAGGATTAAACAGCTGTCCGGAACGAGGTGGAGATGGGGAGGAGGAGGGTTGCGGCGTGAATGAAGCTGCCTGCGGGCAGTGCCTGATTGCTGCAGGTGAGGGTTTGTGTGTGGTGCTGCAGCTGAGTGTGACTGACTGATCACTGTAGCTGTAAATCAACAGTGGAACGCTGTGAGCTCAGTTTGTGCAAGGCTGTCCACATCTGAGATGCATAGATAGAAAGTTAAGGGATGGAGACTTCTAACCAGGGTCATTTGAGTCGTCTCTAAAATGACCATCAAAAACAGGCTGATGGTACCTGATGTGTCTGTAGAGGACCCACAGGGCGGTGGTGTTGAGGAGCAGTCCTGGGACAAACAGCAGTAGGTAGAAGTACGTGTACATCTGCTGACTCTGCTCCTCCCACACACTCACGTTGTCGCCGCAGTGGATGGAAGAGTTCATCTTGGTTTAAAACATCTTCAGTCCATATAATTCCATAAAATCTCTGAAATATACAATGCATGATTAAGGTCCCAAAGAAACTGGCACTGACACATTTAGAGGAAAGAGGTAAATGTCGAGACTTTTAATTATGAAAACACCCGACCTGGCTCGCAGAGATGGAAAGACCACTGGTTTTTGGTACTCACGCAAAGATGTAGTGTCATTGATTAAAGTCTAGTACTAGTTGTGTATCGGTTCTTGTGTATAGTAAAAATGTTATGACCAAGATTTGTATGTATGCCTATCTATTTCTATACTATTGTTTTGATTTGTATAACTTCTTTACACCATGAGTCAAAGTAAATTCTAACACAAGTAAGATACCAAGTAAAATGACGTAAATCATTCCCTTAAGTAAAAGTATAAATGTACGTTTTGTTGTATCTCAATCACAAAGATAAAATAAGTGTTTAAATATGTATTGAGACATTTTAAGCACTGCCGTCACCAAAAGTAGAAATGGCACATAGACAAAATGTAAAACTTATGTGAACTTATAGGTATGGCTAACTACTATGTATTATTTTAGAAGCACGGCTAACCTCTTCAAACCAGTTTTTTGCTTTGTGTTGTGTTGTGACTTTCCTCGTCTTCAATTGAAATATATCTTTGGTTTTGCTTAATGTCAAATAGATCCGCTTAGCTTTTCACCACTGCTTCTCTATCTCATGTTTATGGTGTAATTGAGCTGCCACCTAGTGTTCATAATCTTAAAATGCAGTCTAATAAAATCTTAATGAAATGGCCTTTACCATTGTTTTATATCTGAAATTATGCAATCTCATGGCTGGGAGTAACTTGGACAGACAGATGTATAATTTTACATTTTATGTGTATCAAAAACGCTACTACCCAGATACTTTAAAGAATGGGATAGTTTGCTTCGAAAATTCCTTTGGGATGAGAAAAAACCTCGAGTCAAACTTAAACTTTTGAAACGGCCTAAATCAGAAGGAGGACTAGCACTGCCAGATCTGGAGAGCTATTTTAAAGCTGCCCAGATGAAGTCAATTATGGTTTGGATAAGCAAAGACAATCCCATTTGGAAGGAGATGGAGCTTCATAAGGTAGGCCTGATGAAATCCCTTGTAGTGAAAACTCAAAATCAAGAAAATAAAATGGAAATGCAAAACAATTATTGTTTACAGAACACTATTAGGATATGGCAGAAAATTATGAAAGATTTAAAAATTAAAGACAATGAGATGGTGTATCTGAGAGAAATGGCAAAAGATCCAAACTTTAAAGCGAGTAGTATGGATAATATACTGGATAAATGGGCAGAGAAGGGACTAGTAAGATTCTATCAATTGTTTAATAACAATGGAATAGAATCCTTTGAAAACATATCAAGAAAATATTGTCTGCCGACAAATCAATTCTTTAAATACTTGCAAGTAAGAAGCTATCTCAAAGATAAAATAACAAACAAAAAAGAGATTCATCCCATGATATTGTTAATGGAAAGATTATCAAATTCAAGAATCCAAAATGGCCTCAGTCAAATATATCAAGCGTTACTAAATCAAGAAGGAAAAATGGTTTTAAACATCAAGCAAAAATGGGAGGATGAATTATCCATAAAAATAACAGAAAAAGAATGGGAACAAATCAGTATTGGAAATCACCGAACCACTCATTCCTTGTTTTGGAGAGAATTTTCCTGGAAAATTAATATGAGATACTTCCTCACCCCGGAAAAATTGAAAAATATAAATAATAGTGGTAAGTGTTGGAGGAATTGTGGAGAAGAAAATGCTAATTATACTCATATATTTTATACATGTAATAAAATACAGTCCTTTTGGGTAGAAGTTAAGAAACAAATGGAAAGAACTTTTAAGAAACAATTGGAAATAAAGGCTGAAAATATGCTACTAGGTAAAATACCTGTAAATTTAACACCAGAAGACTATTATTTATTTAGAATTTTAAGAATTACGGCATTAAAAACCATTACTAAAGAATGGAAAAATGAAAATCCACCAGTATTTATAAAATGGGTGAAGTTAATACAGGAGGTAAAAATTAATGAAAAAATAACCCACAAAATTAGGAACAAAGAAATAATTTTTCAAAGGAAGTGGCTCATGATAGATTTTTTGTGATTAACATATTCTGCTCCACAACTTTGAGAATGATGTGGTTCGGTGATATGTAGTCTCACCTGTAGACTCTGACTTAATACTCTTTGTATGTGAAGGCATATACGTATGCATGTAGGTATAGGTGTGTATGTATGTATATGTGTATATATATGTATGTATATGGGTATGTGTGTGTATATATATGTGCATATTGTGTGTATGTATGCATGCATGGGTATGTATGTGTATGTGTATGGAGGTATATATACATATACACAAATTATTATTATTTTTTTTCTTATCTCATTAATGCTTTCTCTTAAAGAATGATGTACTGATGAAGTCAATGGAACTCCTCATTAACTCATTTTTTACTTTTATTTTTATTTTAATTATGATGAAACGTATGTAAATGCATATAATGTATGAATAAGACAATGGGAGAATGAAGCTGAGGCAAATTTGTTTTGAGGGTGTGCGCACTGCTTCATGCATGTGCATGAAGGAGATATATAATGAAGTGCATGTATGCATGAATATAGGTATATGTGTATGAGCATATGTGTTGGGGGGTATATGTGTGTATATAGGTGTATACATACATATATGTAAATGAGTGTGCATATGTATGCGTATATATAAATATTTAAAACAGACTATTTTTTTTTATTTTTTTTTTCTTGTACTATTATTGTTTTTTATTATATTATTACTATTTTGTTTTATGTGTAGTATTATTATGATTATTAATAGTTGTATGTAATTTGTATTGTTTTAGGTTTTTTTTTTTTTTTTTCCTCTGCACTATAAATGTTGCCTTGGGAGGTTTTTTGTTTTTTATGACAATCACCTTAAGTTGTAAAGGCAAAAACTCAAAAAATAAAGTATAAAAAAAAAAAAAAAAACGCTACTACAGTTCCCCATTAGCTTATTACTGCACATTCACTTTGTAATAATTTGGAAACAATTATATTACAATTAATTATACTGAGCTGCACTGTGTCCATAATTGAGATGATAATTCACTATCTGATATTTCATTCACTTAACACTTTTCCTGCTGATATTGTTACTATTCTTTATTCTGCTCATATGCTCTGCTGCTAAAGTACAACATCTGTAAATACCTCTGACCCAAGTGCAATTACAGCTCCAGAGTTTTATTTTTTTTTCCATTGTATTCTCTTTTACCCTCTTACTCATTATTTTAATTGTATTATCTATTATCTTAAATAATAAACCCTGTTTGCTCTTATATCCTTCTCTTTCTCTGCTGTAATGTGCAACGATGACATTGCGCTGTGGGACATATAAAGGAATATCTTCTCTTAATTTAACACCTAAATGCACCTCACTCACTTTGCATAACACTAGATTGCTTCATGGTCGCTGTAATAAAGTCACATCCTCCACTGAGCACAGGAAGGGTGGGGTTTACTTTGACAGACACAGATACACTGTTGTCAAATCCTTGAAGGGGCAGCTCGGCATTCCTATTACATAAGTGAATATTAAACCTGTTATGGGATAAATACTATTGTGGCAACTTATTTATATCCATACTGTTGCTGATAGAGCCAGTGCTCTGTTTGTGGCCCTAAGCAGAAGTCAGCTTTTGAATCTTCCCAATTCAAAAAAACACAGTAAAGCAGAAGTCATGCTATAAATAAAGTGACACATTACTCTGGGACCTCATTTCTAAAAAATATTTGTGTAGGTCCATATAAGCCTGAAGTAAACATAATGGCTTAAGTGTCATTATCAATATCACAGAGGAGGAAAATCGTGAAATTACAATATTGTTTTCCCACAGCTTGTAAAAACCCCAAATATAATGTATAGAGACAATATTTTGAAAGTGGTAAGCCATAATCCTCAAAATTATATGTCATTGTGTAAGTAAAGATTCTATATCATACAATGGTTTCAAATTTTCTGTTGAATCCTGCACTAATCTAAATTCTTGATCAAATTGTAATATTAATATATCTGGCATCTTATTGTAGGGTGTTTCAAGTTATAAATGCAGACCTCCAACCATGCAAGTACGTTTAAGATTCACAGTGCACATTTATCCGGTATACACTTTAAATAAACGCAAAACAGAATATAATTATTATTTTGTTTTCATGCATTGACAAATAATAACTGTAAGTACAATGTATTATGGCGGTAACAATATCAAACCACTCATGCATATCACAGTCACCACAGGTTTGCAATAAAAAATCAGTCAGTTTACCTGCGCAAGAGGGGTATTATTTCCATGACAACACAAATGTATGAAGCTCCAACAGATCCAAACTGCAGCGGTCTAGTGGCAGCTCAAACTTTGCTGCACGTGAGGATGTCACAGTCTCTGGTTTGTAGAGCGGAAGGTGGGAAAAACATGCGTCACTGTGGTTTTGATCTGAATCAAATGTGCAACCAATGTGTCAAAGTGTGTTGCACATGTCTTGTCTGTGTCCTATTTCTTTATATGAACAAATAAAAATATAGCAGAGTATTATAGTATTTTTTTAGCAGGATCGAAAACCATAATTACAGAAGCTTACTGCCCTGAACTGAAGAAGGCAAAGCATTTCCTGGTTCTGTAGGTCTTTCCTTCCTGCTGTTGTCAGACTGTACAATGAGAACTGCTGAGCCCGTAAAAAAATTTCATCTGGAAATGAGTAAATTCTTAAATCATGTGCAATACTGCAACTTCAGAGTATCCACTGAACAATATCACTTTACTTTATCTACTTATTATCCTGCACTGTATGTACAGTATATAAATCAGCACTACAACACACACACATATATATGTCTGCTATCACAGCTTGAGATTGATGAGGTACAACACTTGTATGATGCCACAGTTGCCACAGT